CCCCCCCTCCATACTCACTATTTTGCGTACGTGACTCAGCGCGCTTCCCTCTTTGCCTTTACAGTTTTCCACTTGATAGGGAGGGGCGATAACGACTTCTTCCATCACAACTATGTTCTTCTCCTGCCATTTACAGTCTTTAATGCTGCAGGGAAAGGGAAAAAGGATCAGCCGCGCCATTGCCCGGGGTTCTGGGCTCTGCTCCCGCATCCCCCAACCCCTCTGACCACCACCACCCGCCCCCCAGCGCGGTCCCACCTCGGATCCGTGCCTCGGCGACGTGGGTGCAGAAGCCACCCAGCATCTCCTGGGTACCCGACCAGAGAGGGGTACGAGCCCATGGGGACAGGGACGTGGCCGGTGCGTGCCAGAAGAAGCAAGGAAGAGCCACCACCTGCACCACCGAGGACTGCGTGGCTCTGGCCAGGGTGTTCCAGGACACACGGCGAGCCCAAAGGACCGGGCAATGAAATTCCTGCCCTGGGCTACGCAGGGATGCGAGCAGGGGGCCGAGGCAGAGCGCAGAGGGCACCGACGAGGGGACTTACGTCTTATGTATAGTCTGGAAGAGCTGCTGCCCCTCCAGAGAGACACCAGCACTAATTGCATACGCCTGGCTCATCTTCTCTTCCTTCTCCGTCCGCGCTTTGTTGGCAAGCTGGAGGGGAGACAAAGGGAGAGGGAGCTGGGCTGAGCGTCGCCCCAGCGGCCATCAGAGCTCCAAGGGGACACAGGTCCTGTCGTTGTCCCCTCTACCGCCGACCCAGCTCTGCCGCTCGCCATCCGGATCGCCAATTAAATCAGGGTAACGACCAGCGTGCAATTCCCACCCTCCCACCACACCTTTCTCTGCACATCCCGGAGCGCCGCACGCATTTCAGGCCACCGCTTAATTCCTTTTTGAGACAACACTGCCACTGCCTGCGGTGTCCCCGTCCGTGTCCCCCCCCAATATTTTGGGGATGTGGCGTGCCAGTTTTTTTTTTTGCATCCCCCTATTCGGGCACAGGGAGGAAATCAGCTGCCAGGGGCCAGACGCACAAGCATCACCTTCCCCTCTGCCTTTTCTCAGTTAATTGCTGCATTTTAGGTCCAAACCACCTCCTGCTGCTTGCTGTTTACTCAAGGGATGCAGACGGGCAAAACGAGCCCAGAATAACCATTACATTAGGGCTCGTGGGGTGAAAAATGCCTCTGAACGGACCACACAAGGAGTATGAGCAACTTTATCCCAGAGCGGTTATTCTGTTCCAAAAAAAAATAATAAAAAATGCAGAATCAGGTTATTTGGAAGTCACAGTGTCTGTGCGCGGGGAAGCACAATTACGCTGGTGGGGTCTCAAAGTAGAGAGGGGAAACCCCCAACCGTGGCATCCCTCCACGTTAAATCTCCACCGGCCGCTGGAGGAGAAGGAGCTGCAGCTGCCTGGAGGCAGGAGACGGGCAGGCGGCGCTGGACCAGCCGCCTTTCCCGGCTGGAGCTGCCGCAGTGGAAGAGCCACATTAGCATTGCCGCCCACGCCAGCCCTCCTCTTCCTCCTCCTCCTCCTCCTCCCCGTAACGGCCTCACGCCTACAAGCGCTCCCCAAACCAGACCCGGCTTTCTCCGTGCCGCGTGAGGACAGCTTCACTGTGCTTAAAACGCTCTCTGGGTAGGAAAAGACCAAGCTCCCACCGAGCGGGGGTACTTTTTGTAGCAAATAACGCTAATAAGGGACAGGTTTCCCCCCTCGGAGCTGTCCCGTCTCCTGAAACGGGGCAGACACAGCCCATTGCGTCTACTCTCCGTGCCCAGGTGAGCTGGGCTCGTCACAGCAGCCTTCGGTCGTTCGCCACATGCTCCTCAGCCTCCCGGTGAGCAAGGGAAGCCTTAACAGGAGGACAAGATCTTTTCTCAGCCCCGGCACAAGCTGGCTCTGCAGCCATCCGCCCCACTCCACGTAGGAATTGCTCTCTCCAAGACCACCAGTCTGGCTTCCAAACTGGTTCGTAAGACTGGGTGTAACCTTCCCCAGTAACATCCAAGTCCTGCCTGCGAGCACCAGCCTCCTCTGGGGCCGCACCAACACTCCACCTAGGCAGAGCCGCTGCCCGAGGCCAGCGTACATGGTTCTCTATCATACCTGGCTCCCAACTGGCTCCATCATCTGTCCCAAAACTTTGGGGACAGCCCTAAGAAGGGGCAGGTGACAACAGGCAACTGCAAGGAGCCAGGAAACCCCCAGAGATGTGCAGATGAAGAGCACCCCCTCGTGTGCTGCCACCACAGGCAGCATCCCAACATTACTTCTTCGGGCACTCCTAGACCCCAGGATTAACAGCATCCAGCAACGCCCAACCTCATCCTCCTGCTTCGAGCTGGAGCACATCAGCCCTCACCTGGAGCTGAGTCCCTTCCAACGTTGATTAGTTTATTAACCGAGCGCCAAGACCCAGGGTCCCTTCGCTCTTGTCTTTCCCCTGCAAGAGGATGTGCTCTCCCTATTCATCGCTGCTAGCCCTGGACAAGAAAGGAATTGGACACGCCGAGCCTCCAGCTTCCAGCCTACCCGATCCAAGCATTCAAAATAGCCTCCTTGTTCCCAGTGCGGCCCCCCCTCGCCCCCCGCCGCACAGCTTCACGCCCCCCTGCAGTGAGCACCCGAAGGCGCCAGGGCTATTGAAGAGACTCGGATACGCACCTTGTGCGACGGCATGAATGAATGAGTCACTTCCCTATTCACGTCCGTATGAATGATGGAAAACGCGGCGCACGGCAAGAAGAGCCAGCGGGGGCCACTGAGCATCCTGCCGAGGTCCCCGGGCGGGTGCCAGCCCCACCGGGCAGGCTGGTGTCCCCAGAGGTACCAGCACGGACCCCATCCTCTCCAACGGCATCTCCCCTGCGTGCCCATCACCAGGAAGCTTTGGGCTCAGCCGTACCTCCACTAAACCGCTGCCAGCCCTCCATCCCACCAGTTATCTCCCAATGCCCCGCCAGCCCCTCGCCCGCGAGTATTCTGGTCCCAACGTTTTCTCTCCGCTCAGGACCAGGCGGGGCTGAGCATCTCCTGGGGGCTCTGCTTGCTCTCCGAGGCCTTCCAAGGCAGCAAGGGCTTGCCCTGGAGCACCACAAGGATTCCCATGTGCCAACAGCTCCTTCTCCCAGTATATGACCAGTATCAGCTCGTCTATATTCCAGTCCTGCAGCACCAGCAGAACTCAGCTTGCTTGTGCATCCACAGGAGAGGAGATGCAGGTCAGAGCAATGTAGAAAAACCCTCCTGTCGCTGGAGATGGGGATACAGACACACCGGTGGCTGCACACCAACTTCCATCCACTGAAGATCCGACTTGATTCATTATTTTCCCCCACACCAGATCCACAGCAATTATTTTGATGCCAGAAAGACTGAAGCGAGTATCTGAAGTCACATGGGGTGTTTCCCCCTCAGCAGGCCCGTCCACCTCCCGGCAGCGCTCCCAGCGATGTCACTCGATGCAATTACAACCAACGGCCGTATCTTTACGGCAGTTGTGTCATTTGAGACCTCCGCCAACGTGCTAATCCACCGAGAAGGAACCCACGGGGGCTACGGACACCCACAGCTGGTGCCACCCACACGACACCGACCTGCAGGCAGAGCCTGCCTGAGCCTGTCTGCCAGGAGAGGAGGTTTCCACGTGGGACAAGGAGATGACAACTGAAGAGCCCCACAGCCAGACCCCAAACCCCACACCCAGCTTCCAGCCATTTCACATCGGCATCGAGGGCTCAGATTCACCTTCCTTCTCTCTTTTTTTTTTTTTTCTTCTTTTGACACCATCACTGGGAATCAGAAGCGATCCCCTTCCGGAAGGATGTATGAAAAGCAGTTCCTCAAAATTCAACTAACTGTGCGTGCTCCACCGCTCCTGCCCACTCCCCCGCCATTCAGCTTCACCCCAAATCATTCTGTTTCTGATGATGACCAACATCCTTGTGGAGGTGGGGCTGCAGGCAGGGAGGGCACCCACCGAGCACAAACCTTGTCTAGCATCATCCATGGGAGCACAAAAAGTGCTCTAGTGCATTCTTAACACGG